GCGTGCTTGCCCGCCTCCCTCTACACAAGGGCCGGGGGGAGGGCTGCGCTATAGACCCAAAAAATCGCGGAGGCTCTTCCTGGGCGCGGTGCTTTGCCCGCCTCCCCTCTATAAAAGGGCGGGGGGGGGGGTACGTTGAGGCTGCAGCAGCAAAGCAATCGAGGCAATGGCGGCACAACGACTCCCGAGCGGCGAGAAGCTGCAGGCGCTGAGGGACACCGCCAATCGCCTGCGAATCCACTCCATCCGAGCGACCTGCGCCTCCAACTCGGGTCGGTGGCATCGCGAGACTGCGGCGAGCGCGTCGCGGTCGATATTGCGCGGTGAAAGCGTCGTCGTCGTCGTCCGTGGCTGATACAAAAAAAGAGTCGAGGGTTTTCTAAGTGAAATGAGGGCTGGCCGCGTGAAATGCCTTAAATTCCCAGCAGTGGCCCAGACGGCGATGATGGAGGCCAAACATCCTAAGCCTCTCTCGCTGTGTGCACCTGCCGTCTGCATGTTGTCGCTCGTGCGCAATTGAATTCGCGCCAGTGGGCTTAGTGTAAGAATTTGGGTTATGTGGCTTTTAAAAAAGTCGTAGTTAAACGCCTGCGCACGCCGATTTTTGAACACGAGTGGCTGCAATCGCCGTGCTGTACAGTAATGCGACGTACGAGTCGTGTAAACTGCGTTTGTGTGAAAACAATGCAACTTCTCGTTTCCTGCCAGCCTTTTAAGGCAATTGTCCAGATTATAGTACCGTGGTTACACTTTTTTGTGTAATAGTTTGACCCTTTGCTGACTTTCTAATTGACATCGGCCACGTGCCGTAGCTAATGAAGCACTCTAACGCGAATGTGTGCATTTGCAAACCATTTTTATTGCTAATCAACATTTCACGGTCTCAATTTTTTTTAATGAATGATTGGAATTGCATTTTGGAGACGGAGGGGAAACGCAATGGATTTCAGAAAGCACGCGGGGTTGCTTCCATCGTGACACAAGAATTACTGTAGCTGGGCAGAGATGTTCAAAGAAGAGGCGACGGTAAAGATTCGTGTCGGTGGAGCTCATCCTAGGACCTCTACCAGGAGATGGAGCGATGTGAAAGCGATGAAATCCGCCTGCGCCCATGCATTTGCGTGGATGTTTGGCATCTGCAGGATCGTAAGATGGCTCAGGTGGGAGGCCCATCATCCAGCAGTGGATTAGAGCATGGCTTGTGCTTCTAGATTGTACCTTCGTGCGAATTCGCATCTCGATTTCGCGTCTGTGTGGAGTGACGAGTCATTTTGGGTTTCCTTGTGGAAGTTGGGGATGCAGTAGCACATCAGGGGTTTTGTAAGGTTAACGCAAACATAATTTGAGTACATCTGACTTTTAACCCGTTCTGTCGAAATATTTGGTTGGCTTGTCTGAGCATGATAACACTTCGACGTACAGTTTTGATGAACCAGCTTTAAAGTACAGTATATAAACACGTCCGGCTTGATCCGGCAATGAGTTTACAGAGGGTGGTGCGCGTGCAAAGGTCTCGTTTTTACCGTATTAAAACGTTTGTAAAGCGGGTTTTTTCCCTCCGCCTATATCCCTTCCGAACCAGTGTTTTAGCAGTGGTTTTCGCCTAACCAGCCCAAATTCTTGGCTACTTTAAATGTTCTTATATCGTCAAAAGAACGTTGCGAGTTGAACTAAAGCTGCCGCATTGCTTTACCGCAGCCAGGAAGGAGCCTTCCGTTAACACTGGGCCCGTTCAATGCAGTACAGAACCATTAAAGTTTAATTCGTATCATACTCTTTGGGTCTTTCGGTAAAGTTGCGTAGATTGAAAAATAATTTTTCAAAAAAATCACGACGTTTCGATCGCAACAAAAGCAATTGTCTTCAGGTGAAAAAATACAGCAGGTGGACTGCTGAGGCAGGAAGAAATATGTCAAGGTTTCATTTGTATCATTTGAAAGAAATCCTCATCTAAAATCCCTATCACAGTTGATTCTATCATTGGCATGAGTATCCATTTGGTTCCCTCGTTGCATTACAATAATATACGAGAGGTAATGTTTTTGTTGCATGACCGTTAAAGCATGTTTTTAATTCCCAGTGCTGGAAATGCAACCTTTTTGAGAACCCGGTTTCATGGCAGGCGACTGCCTTGATTTGAACCCCCAGGAATTTCGGCAGTGCCAGCTTGGGTGCTCTTGACCCCTCTCCTGAGCTGCCCTGACCATCTATCTCCTGCACACTGCCTGCAACCCCCTTGTTGACCGATGTTGAAAACTCATTTCATTCTTGCTTGTGTTTTGTTGTTGTTGCCCTGTTCCTGTTCTGCACAGCCACCCAACATCATGCTGCAGTGCTGCAGAGATAATGTCCACGCTCTTCTTCTACGGCATGAAGTATAAGGCGGATGACCCCGGCAATGTCAATAACGACCGCTTTGTGCTATCCAAGGTGCTGTCACGAACAGGCGTTTTTGCTTCGAAGTATTGGTGTCACGGTGTAAATGCTGTTTGATAGTTTGCTTTAAAGGCAGTGTGTGAAATATTACAATGCAATTGGTTCTCTTATGTTGCATGTAAATACGACTCGAGATACATGCAAAGTTTGCATTTTGGCTAATTTGTCAGACAAAGCATATCAACTTTACAAACCAGATGGTAAAAATGGGACAAAGAATCAATTCTTATATTGTTACCCAATTATTAAATCGCCAGCGGTGTAAAGTGACGCATGCCAAAAATACAAACTTAATTTGTTCAAAATACTTTGTGGTGCAGTTGTCGGGTTTTGCTCGCTCTGAATCCTGGAGTGCAAATCTCCCTGGGAGTCAACGTCTTACCATATTTAACATGTAGGTCTTCCGTGACCAATATTATCCATACTAGAGGTTTTTTGGGTTGGATCGCGTAAATATATGCATGTGTCGTTAAAACCTGCCACCACCCGACATAGCCAACTAGTAAGGCTTGGCTCTCCAACACACCGGTGTGCAGTACTAGTGACGAATTGGCCACGTTCTGTTTACGTGACAAACCTTACTAGTTGGTCGTGTCGGGTGGTGGCAGGTTTTAACAACACTTATTCCTACAATATCTCACCAAGGTTGCTAAAATAGCACCACTTATGCAGACTAGGGCTTGTCATGGGAACTGATTTTCCACCACTGGTTCAAAAACATTAAGTGCCTCTCTAAAATGCTCGTTTGCTCCAAGATATTTTAGATACGAGCACTTAAAGATCATTGGAATATATGTTTGCATGGAATAAGAACGTATGTAGTGTTATATATTTGTTTTAGTTATGGGAACTGATGGTTTGTCATTGTACTATTATGCAATGCACAATGACTTGCTGGTTTCGGGCACACTTATTGGCTTGTTAAATGACTTGGCAAACCGTGCTCAGGGTGTGGCAGCCAAGTGAACTGAATAGGTATGTCGTGCTGTTTGGACACTCCTCCAGACCCACAGTTTTTCACCATTAGGCCTTAAAATAGACCATAGTCGTGTATTCATCAATATGTAGACGAAGCTAAACAATACTGGGAAAAATCTAAATTTAAATCTTTTAAAATTTCAAATGAGCCTTTAAACATTGCCATTCCACTGCAGCACAAAGAAGATTTATGGAAAAGTAATGGACGTGAATCTATTGCTCCCTGGCGATTCGACAACTTGTCAAGATTTGAGTGTGTCATGGATTTTCTCAATTTTTACGCATTTATATTCTGTCTCGCTCAATTTAACTCCCATTTGCCTGCATATACCCTAAGCATGTCATTCTCAATTGTAAACGATTATTGCATGTGGTGTATGTATGTTGAACGTCTTTCACACAGTAATGTAGCCAACTGCGCTAATCGTAGTGTGGTGGTGATGATAATTATTTGAATCTTATTAAAGATAATATTTCCTGGCAAGGTGTTGAGATTTGGATTTGGCATTAGAAAATGTGGAACCCTGGAATGCCTGCTCTTCTCGTTGATGCTGAAAATGTGCACTTTGAACCTTCATTGCAACACTGGAGGCTTGACCCATTACCACGGCAGTTTTTGAAAGGTTAGAGTTTTCAAATTTAGGATGGATTAATGCCACGATCCTCTCGATGTTTACAGTGGAACTACTGTTGCTTTAATTAAAACCGCCGGCCACAATTCTAATTGAGATTTATTTCCCCCATTTAAAAAAAAATCGGAGTTGCACCACCGCTTATGAAATCTCATGGATAAAAAGAGCTTGTGTTGCAATGTATTGTATGAGCTGTTGAGGCCTGAATGTTTACTGATCAAAAGATGATCTCGATGTGCCAACCGAGTTATAGAGTACAATTATTTGTATCCTTTTATCGAATGGTATGTTTTTGGCATGCTGCTTTGGTTTATCATGAGGGAAATAATGTAACTATTAAAAACAACAGTCTAGGCTATAGAAAGTTTAATTTTAATAGAATGTCCTAGTGTTTTGTTCCCACAGAACAACATTGTATTTCACTTGTTGCCATGTACTTGTTGAATCTTAATGGCAGTGATTTTGTCTATCTTAACGCTTCCAAAAAGCAATGCGAATAAATTAACCCATTGGGTACTGTTAATTCGGATGTATGTATAATATTTCATTCATAGGTAAAAAATAAAAGTAAGTTTGAGTTCATACGGTATTTGCACTTCCCCATTGTCAGACTTCGGTTTGGACTTTACAGATTATACTGTTATATTGTGCAACACAAGTAACTGGAAGTTCTGGTGATATTTGCTTAAACATTTTTTAACTACCTTAAAATCAGTGTTTGGAGACTTTCTGTGATTGTCACCAGACCTGGTTGAGTTATGCGTGCATTATCAAGGTGGTGGATTATGTACTGTCAATTGGTTTTCCTCTGTCGATTGCAACTTCCCTATGAGTTGTGTACGTTGATTATTTTTGTGCAGTAAAGCAATGAGAACCTTGATTGGTGCCGTTTATGTCCTGAGTTTTAGAGGTCATTAACCTGCAGTTGACTTTAGGCTTTGCTCCTGAAGCTGTTTACCAGCTCGCCAACCTCTGAACATAGAAACATTTAAACACTCCGGCGCATACGAACGAAGTGTCCCATAAATGGTTGTACCATGCAAAGCCAGTTGTCTAGTAGTGTACACGCTTGCCTTTGTAAAGTGTTGGGATAAAATAAGTTTTGCCCCACCCTAGGCATGTAACTGAAGATTTTTAAAATGTATATATTATAATCTCGTTTCATTTTTTCTCAATTGTAGCGTGATTATTTGCTTAATGTTATGCCATGTTGCGATTGCTTAAATTAATACTATATAATTGGCCACTGCATCTGTTGCCACCCGCAAGACAGCTGCCATAGGGTTTCATTGGGGGTGAAAAAATCTGGTGACAGCAGTGCATGACCCTGCATATATGACATCCATGAGCCAGACCTTGAGCTAATCACCAGAGCCACCTGTTCCCGAGACCAGACCCATGGGAATTAATGTTGGTCCTGCTCCTTGTAGCTTTTTCTTTCAACGTGCAAAGTTTTGCCGCAAGACACTTGGCACAGCTGCTGTTTTTTTCATTTAAATTGAATTGTCAGCTGGGAAAAGAATGTCACCCGCTTGTTCAGAATTGTTGTAAATTGTTTAACGATTTGTGACTTACAAGGGAATGATACCAGTGGTTTTTTCGTAGTTTACTTTAAGTATGAAGTGTTAACATTGCTGAAAGCTTAGAGTCTTGGGTTTTTCTAACAAATTGAAGTGACAACATTGCAGGAGCCTGGCAAGATGACAACTGTAGTGATTGTTATCATTTGCTTTACGTTTGTGCTGATTTTTTTTGTAGGGACATGCTGCGCCCGTGCTGTATGCCGCCTGGGCTGAGGCTGGATATATCGCAGAGTCGGACCTCTTGAATCTCCGCAAGATTGACTCTGATCTGGAGGGACATCCTACACCTGTAAGTTCCTTGACACCCTCCCCCTGGGAGGGACTGTCTATACTGACGTTTTCACACAAAATGGCCTAAAACACATCTGACATTCATTGCATGTCTGGAGTTCGTGTTGAAATTTGGGACTTAATTTTACTTGTGTAAGCATTAATCTGCTGATATAGCCATACCACCCCATTTGAAAGTTTATTTTGGTGCAGAAAAATTGAAACTGGGCACCTTGCCCCATTCAATCAATCACAGATGCTGATCACCAGTTCTTCTGGGAACAGTTGGGATGGTTTGGCAACGCATGATATGGCGTGGCTGGTGTTGCATTTCACAAAGTTCATGTTTCGGTTTAGACCGTGGGTGTCTGGTCAACGGGTGTGCAGTGGTTCATGTGTAGGGAGTTCAACTGAGTCGCAGATGCACTTCTTGGAGGCAACTTTTATTATTAATACAACACACGGGGTAACTGCCCCTTAAGATAACAACCTGTGGTGGTGACCACCAGGCTAACTGCACTAATTACAATAACTAGCTACAATGGACCGGACCACAGCTTGGGTCCAGGTCCACGTGTTGGAGACTGTAGGATGTAGAACGTAGATTCTTCAGGGTGAACAACAGCAGTCGGTCCCTCTCGGAACCCGGCTTGTATCCTCTGTGGCGTGGCTGGGTCTGCCCTTAGCCACGACCACCTTCTAGAATCCTCGAGCAGGATCTCGACCTTGACACGTGACCACCCCTAGCCCCACTTGGGGGCCCTGTGTCGACTTAACCAGTCACGTGTCCTCTGGGGTCAAGCAAGTGCCACGGCCGATAGTAACCCCATTCACGTGGCCGGCACTCTCACCCTATCCTGTAGGGCTGGCACTGCACGCAGAGCGTGGTGCCATCCAGCGCTGTCAGTCAGCGCTCACCGAGCCCCTCTAGGGCTGGTACTGAACTCGCATATAAGTGGTGTCCGCGATGTCAATACATCGCACTCCGTGCCTCTCTAGGGCCGGCATTACACGGTGACGTACGCGATGTCACTACACATCCACTGCTGTAATCTTGATGACCTGTTTGATTCCCAGCCTGAACCAACACCTCCCGGCAAGTGCTAACTGGACTTGTCCTAAGGGCTGCCTCCTAGATCAGCTCTGGTTTTTTTATTATTAAATAAACTAAAAAAAGATCACTTTTTGTGAGCATCTTATTTTTTGTCGATAAATGTAGCCGCGCATAGAACCGCTCTTATGTGCTGTGCTAACCTTGATGGGTCACTTGCTAACGGAATGTGCCAAAACAGTCTTTAACAACTGAATTCTTTGTGCCATGCCATCTTGTGCTGCTAGAAACTTTCGTTCGTGGATGTGGCGACGGGCTCCCTGGGTCAAGGGCTTGGCGCTGCCTGTGGGATGGCTTACACTGGGAAGAACTTCGACAAAGCCAGGTCTGCTAATGTCCTGGCACCCTTGAACCCCTGACAGTGTCAATTTAAATTATAAGCAGTTTTACACTCAAGGTTGAATGCGTAGCCAGACTTGAGGATCCATTGCGTTTGGGTCTTTCATAATGCAGCAAAGTAAACCAATTTGCTTCAAGCATTTTCAATTAAAATATGCAAGCATGCTTTAATTTTGTTTACTGGCTCCGTGTTTTTAATTTTAGTGAGCTTTGTCATATCTGTCACTGCAAGGGTCTCTCTTGCAGTGACAGTGACCTGTGATCTGTGTTGTGCCCCCTCCCAAGGGTAAATTGAAACTCCTCGTCTCTTGATGAAGAAAATGTTCCCCATCTGACGTGTAGCACCTTGGCCCTTCTGTCTTGTCATTCCGCCCACAGCTACCGCGTCTACTGCCTCCTTGGCGATGGGGAATCGTCGGAGGGCTCCGTGTGGGAGGCCATGGCCTTTGGTTCCCACTACAACCTGGATAACCTGGTGGCCATCTTCGACGTGAACCGCCTGGGACAGAGCGAGGCTGCCCCCCTGCAGCACAACTTTGACGTCTACAAAAGCCGCTGCGAGGGTTTCGGGTTAGTACTCGGATGTTTGTGTGAAATCTCGCGTGGCATGTTGTGTAAAGGAAGATGTCAACTAATTTGGCTTTTTTAAACCCTTAAATTGGGCTTTATTTTTTTAATTTCTACAGCCAATTTGCATGTAGTCTGCTTTTTCTGCCTTTGTGTAGTTTGCTCAAATGAGCTCCTTTAATATTGTGACTATTTAAAGCTCTGACATAAATTTATTAAGTTAATTATCAAGTGGATTCAAAATATTACCCGTTGACTTAATCCTATGAATCGTTATATTTTCTAAACTCCCCGTGTCACCTATTTTGGTTTTATACATTGCTCAAAATGGTAAGTTATTTTACGATGCTAATTAAATTAAATATAGCTCTTTAAGACTAATTTTGCCCGTTTTTTAAAATGCCGCCTCGATGATGGATGCAGATGGAATACGCTGGTGGTGGATGGTCACAGTGTGGAGGAACTCTGCCAGGCCCTGCTGACTGCCAGCCAGACCAAGGGGAAGCCCACGGCCATCATTGCAAAGAGCTTCAAAGGAAAGGGCATTCCTGGTAAGTGGTGGGAGCAATGCAATATGTTGTTTTAAAAACAAATTATGAAATTTAAAATGTAAAAGATGTAATTTATGAGATTATGCACATTTATGAATTATGCAAATGATGTTATTAGGCAAATTAATTAGGCAAATTAATCAAATAAATACACGTGTGTTTTTTCATGTTAATTGGGTGTAAGTATAATATGATCAATCGTAGGTGTGATTAAATGTGTATAAAGTATTACGTAGATATGTATGTGCATGTGTGTAGGAGAGTATTATTGATGTGTGTTAGTTTGTATTATGGTCAATAGGTGTGCGTGTAGTTACGTGTTTTATTATTGGCTCGGCTTCATTGTTTAGGGTTAGGGTTAGAGTTGCGACCAATATCATCCAAAATAGTTTTTTTTTGGGTTACATCGGAATTGCCACCATAGTACTCCTGTAGATGTCCTACTCATGGTCCGTACAATTAACCCTCAACGGTTACGTTGTTAAACTGAGCCATAGAACAATAGGCGAACTCCTCGTAGTAGTGCGACGATAGGAAAGTCCTTAAAAAATGACAATATTCATACAGAACCACGCGAAAGAAACATGTGCCCAATGGCAAAAGTGAACATCAATGAATTATCGGGCAATATTGTGATTAAATGTAATATCTCAAAACAATAGTATCCATGCGAGTGTGTAGACTCGTAACATAAATGATTATAAATGTTTAGTGTGTCATCAATGAATTCACTGGTAATATTACGATTTAAACCGGGTTTTCATGTGATGGTTTCGGCTCATTCGCTAACGGCTGCTCAAATCATAGTTAAATTTACTTTCACACTTAGTTCAGTATATTCTAGCTCTTTAGGACTAACATATTCTATTTGGTTTCTTTGAAACTAATACCTCCTATACTCGGGCAAGTGGGGGTCCAGAATGCCTAAATTGAGCCTAGGATAATTGAAGTTATCTCCGAAGTAGTCCTGTAATACCATCTTCTGCCGCCCATTGTCAAACATGGGGTGATGCACTGCTCTGCAATAATTCCAAATAGAATTGCTTATAGCTCGTGGGTATGTAGACAACCCTTCTGTCAATGTTGTTGGTGGTTGAGGGCCTTCTCCATCGCCATGCTGATAATTGTTAACAATACAATTGTTTGTTTAAAATGTGACAGGTGTTGAGGATCAGGACAACTGGCATGGCAAACCCATTCCCAAGGACAAGGTGGAGGAGGTTGTGCAGGTCATCCAGAAGAAGATTTCCAACGCAACGAAGCTGTGTCCAGAACTTCCCACCGAAGATGTACCTGTGGTGGACGTGAGCAACGTCAAACTGTCTTCACCTCCGTCCTACAAACTGGGAGATAAGGCGAGTAGTTGGAGGGGTTTTTCTTGCTGTTAAAAGATTTTTGTTTTTTGTCAATCAAACATCACTAAGTATTGGATTTTAGTGACATTTAGCGGGCGCAATTTTATATTCCTAGGTGACATTGCGGAGCGGGTAGTAGATATTACCGGCTTGTTCCAGAGGTTTACACAATTAGTCCAGCAGCTGCCGTGGTTAATAATGTGGGTCTATAAACCATACATTATTTGCTTCGGTGGAAATTAATTATCCGTGTTATTCAAAGTGCAGGCCGAATCTGAAAGTATGTGTAACTAGTTTGGTAAAACAACATAGCAATATCACCTAATTTAGCAAACTATTGCTGTCTGTGAAATGACATCTTCGCGACAGCATTGTGCTCTACGAATGACGCGAATACCCAACGTACTCTCGTAAAATGAACACGAATTAATTTGTCTTTTGCGCACTGCAGATCTCAACGCGTAAGGCGTATGGGGTGGCCCTCAACAAACTGGGCCACGGGAACAGCCACGTCATTGCCCTCGATGGAGACACCAAGAACTCAACCTTCTCCGACATGTTTCGCAAGGACTTCCCTGACCGCTTTATCGAGTGCTTCATTGCCGAGCAGAACATGGTAAAACACGAGGGCTGACTTTACATGGGCAGACGCTGTGTTCGGAGAGTTTAAAAGTAAAGTCCGTTTTATATTTTTTGATTAACATGTGGCGCTTTTCTGGCACATCTGCCACAAAAAGGTGTCATTACATCTTTAAACGTGAAAATAAACAGTTCTGTACAGTTTTTAAAAGACGCATGTAGTGGCTGTGCAAAGGGTGTTGGGCACCGATATTTCCCTCCCCACATTACTGCTTTCTGCATCGTGAAACAAAGAATGTATTTGGATTCATCACAGCCTCTTCGTATTAGACAATGGCCCACAGGTGGCTTTTGCATAGCTACTGCTAATGAGCTCCTTTTAAGTGACCTGTGGTCCACAGAAGGGTGAATGGTGCTGTTTTTATCACTGCAGCATTCTGTTTTGTTTTCTGGATTTAACATCGATTAGTTGAATTCGACGAGTTACTGTGTATTTAACTTTGAAACGAAGTGAGCAAACAAAGATAATATTGTCCTCGTAGGTTTTTACCCTTTTAAACTGGTACAAAACTGACACCTTTATTCAAGGCATCATGTTTGCAATAACCACAACACAAGTAGTCAAAAAAGCAAAGAAAAAGAAGCAACTCTGATGATGATAATAATATGCACTGTCATTATCAGAGTTGCTTCTTTTTCTTTGCTTTTTTGACTACTTGTGTTGTGGTTATTGCAAACATGATGCCTTGAATAAAGGTGTCAGTTTTGTACCAGTTTAAAAGGGTAAAAACCTACGACTATATTTTGCCACTGGTAAAAGAGATCTCATAGTGTAAAAGATAATATTGCTTAATTTATTTTTAGTCATTTAATTGAAGATGGCGATGTCTGCTTCTGTTGGGGCCATTCTCTGACATGAAAGGTTGCCTTGCTGAGATCTAAACAGATACTTTCATCTCATGAGACGGTGTTGATTGAGTTGGGATAACAAGATAGAATATACCTTACAGAGCTTGCTCAACCTTGTGCCTTTCCAAATTATCCTCTTGTTCAAGAGAAATTCTCATTGTCTCCTGCCTCCCATGTGTTTAGGTGAGCGTGGCTATTGGCTGTGCGGCACGCGGTCGCACTGTGCCCTTTGCCAGCACGTTCGCCGCCTTCCTGTCCCGCGCGTACGACCAGATCCGCATGGGCGCAATTTCCCAGACCAACGTCAACTTCTGCGGCTCTCACTGCGGAGTCTCCATCGGTGAGCTGTACTCCCCGTCCCCACCAGTGACTGTCATACCACTGGTGTCTTGATTCTCGCAAAAATAGTGGCCTCAACACTAAACTGTTGTCTGGGCACAGGTTTTCACACCCTCCTTTGTAATAGCAAGGTTAGTCTATGTGGAGAGTTTATATATCTTAAGCTTGTGCCACTTAAGACTGCAGGTATCGGTATCAAAGTTGAATTTCATATGGTCCTACATACTCATGGTTTCATATCTGAAAGTATTGAGTTTGCCATCTGATCAGGAAAGTGATAAGTAATTGGATTTTTTCCATGTCCACATTTTTTGCGTGCCATCTTTTTTTTTACTTTTGTTGCAGTCTTGTGTGTGAATAATTCATAATATTTGTGAGTAGTGGTTAGGACAGCTAGGTTTGATATTGGTCATTTTTAATGTATCGCCATCTAAAATAGGTCTTTATAGTCTTGTTATTTATGCAGTTGGTGTTAGTTTGTTTGTGGGAGTGGTAGTGTAACGGTGCACTGTGCTATGAACCCAGCAACCCAAGTTCGATTCCAGCTCACCGCCATCACCAGTGACGATTATTTGAACCAGTGCGGGGGTCTCCCTTAAGTTGACTCGGCCTCATGAGTAACTGCTGCGGTGTGTAAACATCGCCACTTGGGAGACAAAGGCGGCCGAGCGTGGTGCTGGCCACCCACCCCCTCGTGCGCCGTGTCGGCCTTCATAGGTGCTCACTAACATCACTTTCTGCTAAAGTCTAAGGCTATACGAGGGATCTTCGTGTGTGCATACAGGTGAGGATGGGCCCTCTCAGATGGCTTTGGAGGACCTGGCCATGTTCCGCGCCATCCCCACCGCTACCGTGTTCTACCCCTCGGATGGCGTATCGACCGAACGTGCTGTCGAGCTTTCTGCCAACACCAAGGTTACCCCCCCTCCCCTGCAACTGCAGCCTAGAGCCTGAAGATTAGGGTTAATACCGTAAGAAACAGCATGCCACAATCCCATTGGGGAAGCATACTTAACTGTCTTGGTATTAATTGTAAGAGTTTGCTTTTCGAGCAAGCTGTTACCTGAAATTAATTTGAAGTTTTATTTATTATTATGTTCAACCCAGAATTTTAAAACTAGACTTGAAATGTAAGATTAGGAGAACCAAATTGGTTTCCTTTTGCATGCCTTTATACGTCACCACGCTGGTTACAGTTTTGATTAAAGGGTGGAACATGACTAGTTCACATCTCACTTGCCGGGAATGGAACTCTGGTGGCCGAGTTCGTAGTGTAGTGCATTCATAGCTCTACCACTGCTGCACCCAACAATTCGTTACAGCCGACTATTTTGTTATTGTTAATGAGTATTCTTTATAAGGTTTTTGGAAAAACGGCCATTAGGTTGCGTAATGTTAACGTATGATCTATCTGGAAAGATAAAAGAAAAAAACAATCGAATCTGCCTCCAAGTCCATTTCCATAAGCCTGGCTCTACTCCACAAGTCGTGCGCCACTAACTTGTGTTCCACACCACCGTGTCTCTCGCATGCCAGGGCATCTGCTTCATCCGTAGCAGCCGCCCCGACACGGACATCCTCTACGCCAACGATGAGAAGTTTGAGATCGGCAAGGCCAAGGTGAGAACGGTGCCCGGGAGATTAAAACGTCTCTATTGGATGTTGAATGTGAATGAAGTAAATGTTTCCTGTCGTAGAGTGGCCTGGAATTCTCAAGTCACTCCAGTAGGCCTCTTTATCCTCACTAGGGGGGAGGGGGTGGGGGCATCATTTTTATATTATCTGCAGGGTGTTCACTGCATGTTCAAACTGAAATCTAAAAATCGAACTGGAATAAGATGCATTAATGGCCAAAGATAATTTTATGAATGGTTTGTGCAGTCATTGATGTACTGGCTGAATCCCTGAAATCCTTCTGCTTGCAAACCCAGTCTTATTATGGGCTGACAAAATCCAATTTTCAATCCTATAGTCACAGCAATGCCAATCCGGAGCCACACAGCTGCCTTAATAAAGTTGTGATTGTTTAAAAGTTTTCAGATTGCTTTGTCATCTTCCCGAGACACTGCAGTGTCTTTGTACTTGCTGAAGTGTGGTCCCGTTGAAAACCTGTTTCGTGTTGTCTGGCAGGTGGTGCTGAAGAGCGACAGTGACAAGGTGACGGTTATCGGGGCGGGAGTGACGCTGCACGAGGCTTTGGCGGCCGCTAAGACGCTCGCATCCGAGGGTGAGGCTGTCTAATCTCCTTGCCCATCAACACGCAATGAATCCATCTTTTGCTATAATCGGATACATATGCAGTGCTTTGTAAATGTAATATGTATATCAAATGTACGCATTTTATTAGACTTGCTGCTTTTATGGTGGCTTTATATTCTTTATACATCAATTGGATGTTTTTTTATTTGACTACACAAACTAGTCGCTGTGTGCAGTGTGTGCCGTTCACCTTGCTGCTCCGTTCACCCTGTCTGTCCCTCCCCCGCCGCCCCCCTAGGTCTGAACGTGCGCGTGATCGACCCGTTCACGATCAAGCCCTGGACAAGAAGACGATTGTCGAGAACGTAAAGGCCACTGGAGGCCGCGTGGTGGTGGTTGAGGACCACTACCCCGAGGGTGAGCCGCCACTTCAGTGCAGTGGGCTCGTGTGTGTCCGCCTGCGCCGGGTCGCTCGCCTCGAGTTGCTGTTGAAACCGTTTCCATGAGAACGGCTTTCGTATTTACACAATTTGTATAAAGGCTGATGCTTTTGTTTTTAAAAGGCCCGTGACAAAATCGACCACAATGCACGTATAGGGTTGTTAAGCCAGGAGGTGACCACCATTCATAACAGGTTGTAGGCTATTGGGATATATTTGGACTTTGTAGCAATATCCATTGTACATTATTCACCCAAGCCTTTTACATAACTAACACCCAAGTGGTATACTTTAATTTCATAAATTGTTTCCAAACCTTGCCCTGCTTCAAACTCGTTATTTTAATTGTATATCCTGCTACTCTCCTGCCACCATTCTTTAAATATGAATTTGTAGCCACAATTGCATTTTTCTCTGACCTATAAATATGGATATATTTATATATATAATATGAGTAATCCACATGCCTCCCGCAGAGATGAATGTTGCTGCTCTACCAACTAGTGATGCAATTTACCACGCTGAAGTCTCAAGTCTCATTTGGGATTTCCCCCTGGTATTGTCTGATTTGTACAATAAAATACTCTCAATTGACCAATCTGATCCAAATAAAATAATTCCAATGGTGGATTGTTGCTAGCCTTGTATCTTGGATGTGTTCTAAGCAAAGCGCATTGAAAAAGTCAGAGGAAGCGGAGAGAAGGGCGCTAATGGTGAGATGGTGCACCCAAGTCACCAAAACAGGCTTCTTGGGTAGAAAAAACCCACCCCTATGACATTGAACGATTTTAAAAATGCAGTCTTTATAACAGATCCGATTATTTTAAACGGTGGCAACAACCTGTGCTAGGAACTGAGCCCAATGTCTGCTGCTAACACTGCGTTGTGTGTGACCCCTTTTGCGTGTTTGTGCTGTCAGGGGGCCTGGGCGAGGCGGTGTGCGCCGCCGTGAGCTCCCAGCCCGGCATTGTAGTGCGCCACCTGGCCGTGCCACGCGTGCCCCAGAGCGGGAAACCCACAGAGCTGCTCGAACTCTTCGGCATCAGCGCCTCGCACATCGTCGCCACCGTCAAGGCCTTCGTCTTGGGAAACTGAAGTAGCGGCAGGCGCTGGTCATCGCGCTGCCCACCCACACCCCGGCTTTGACACAATTCCTTTTTTTTTGTCACAAGATGAGCCACTCTTTGTAGTACAAAGAGGTTGAATGTACGCAGACCTTAGCGCTTATAGTAAACTAAGTTGTCCACATTCCTTGTGCGTTCAGTTTCTACAATCAGGCGAGTCTTGGCGAAATGCAGCTGTTGGTCATTTACCAGTTGGTCTTAATTTGTGTTACGTTTGTGTAGTTGTGCGAGCACTTGATACTTTTTCAGAAAATGTTTGACCCAAAGGGTGAAATTCCGATACGTTTTTCTGAACTGGACAGATTTGCATCGGACTTGAAATGACCAAATAGTAAGATTCCACCATTAAACTGTTGTGCCCTGTTAGTCTTCTAGCCCTGCTTGGGGGTGTTTGTGCACTTGCTGTTATTTGGCCTTCAAATGAATAATTCTTGCCCACTGATCGGTGACCAATAAAGTGATTAAGTAATTTTGTTTGTACGTGTTTTGTGACATTACCTCATGCTTGCAGTCTTACACATTCAAGAGGGGGGGGGGGGGCTGCATAGGATGCACAGCTTGTTCCATCAATGCTTGTTTGACTTGTGGGAGGAAACTGGAGGTGGTCTGTACACAACTTTGTCCAGTCTGTACGTTGATCTCTTCAGCAGCCTGCAAGCCCCTCTGCAGGGTTGCAAGTTTCACAAATCTGCACGATTCCTCAACCCATTTTCCTCCAGCGCCAGTTTCCTGTGCCCTTGTGCGCCTGGTTTGTGTGGTGCATGTTGATGTGCGAGGTTGCAAGTGAAATTTACCTTTCTCAAAAAAAATTCTGTATTGCATTATAGATTTGCGTTTGTAAATCTAGTTTGAGAATAAAATAGTTCAAGAATTGTAGGTCGGTAATCTAATGCACCAATTACATCTCTGAGCAACTTACCAAAGTTGTGTCACAATTGATTAACACCTAATCTTTCTAATAACCTTTCGGTTGGCTAATTTTCTAGCATGTTTCCAGTGCACCCAAGTGTTTTACATCTTAACGAAGCCCTATATGCGGCAGAGAAAGGGAATCCCATCATCCCAGAAGTGGATTGACAAGTCCTTGTGAAGATTGCTATAATTGACCACGATCTCTATCCACTGCTGTATGAATGTCTCCCACATAGCCATCTATTCCAGCCCCAACTAAACGGCACTCATTGCTCTTCCACATGAGCTGGTCGTCTTGGGCGTGTTCCATCCATTGGTTTCCAAGCCACCCGTTTTGTCCATCGACAGTCAATGGCACCTGATTGGCTTCTCCTGCCCAAACTCAATCTTCTCAAGTCCCATGTTTGTTATATGCTGCCAAGTATTTGCCTCTGTGTAATTCTCAGCATTCATTTGGGTCGATTTACTCAAAGGAAACTCCTCGATTATCAAAGGGTGCAAAAGCTGAAATGTATAAATGCAGACCCGTCCCACAGCATGTGCAGGTAAATGTTTTGCAGGCCATTGGGACTGGTGTAATCGAAAATGTAGGGGCCGATCACCCACATGAGTCGAGTAGGTTGAAAGGCTTTCTCTTGCAGCAACCACCCATTTTGGAAAAGACAGGAATATCAAGTACTGGGTTAGGTTAAGAGATTGACGAGACCTTTTAAATTGTCGGGCTTTATTCTCAACAAAACTTGCAGCAACAATTTATTCACTGAAATACAACCTCTGACTTTGACCCAAGTTATCTTAAGTCTATTTATACACAATAAATACTCTAATTCATTACCCAAAATACGCAAGGGAACTGGCCATTGGCAAACATCGCATTTCCGTCTACGAGGAGCCAGCCCTTTGTCAATCCACTGCTGGATGAGGGATTCCCAGCACTGCAAATTCTCAGTTCAAGTGAAAATGACATTCTTCTGGAGGGAAATACGACGTGGCTGAAATATCCATAATGAAAAGTATGCGTGGCAAGAGGCTGGGTTTGCTAATTTGACGTCAAATAATTGCCAACCATTTAATACCGTTTTTTTTAAATAATCATTACACTATCACTCTTTGTAAATGGTTCTCAGTCGCCCTGCTGTAGAGATATCGCGTGTCCTCAGAATAAAGCAAGAAGCCAAATTTGACCAGATGGCGCTTGTGTGCAGTCATTGGTGAAGGACCAACTCGCTACACTTGAGAAAACCGGTTTAATCGTGGATGTCTGAAACACTCAAATCCAGGATCCCTGGGGTCCAAATTCAATGGGATCAAAATCTTTGACCATGGAGCCACTTAGGCACCTTGATAGGCCATACTTTCTACACCCCTGGTTTGGAGAATGTCGCTGGCGAGCTCGCCACCCACTTGCCGATGGGCGAGGCCGCTCCGTCTCACCACTGCCGCCGTGCGTCGTAGTCCCCCCACACCCCAGTGCCGGATTATCCCAGGAGCAAAAGTAGCTACATATGTAGTAGCTACCACGGGTCCATATGGAGTAGCTACAGGCCCTGCACTTTCAAGGGCCCTGCGCTAAATGCTTTCAAGCTATCAATTCCGGTTCAGTGATTCTGCACTTGCTCTATTACTACAGTACTATACTGCCTTCAACTTTTATGAACGACTGGGTGTTTAAGGTTAACGCTTTGTCTTATTATCTGGCTGTATAGCAAATGAAAAAATACAATTCCTTTACTGTGCAATTTAAACATTTGTTTGAAAATTTGTGGGTTTTTAGTTTCGGGCCCCTTTATAACATATGCTCCAGGCCCCGCGCTCGCTTCATCCGGCCCCGTCCGACTGCGCGGAGTTGTGGCGTCACGGTGGGTCGACTGCTCGTCGTGGTGCGGCGTGTCTCGCGGGGCTGACGTGGGTGGCGATGCCTGCTCCGAGCAGCCCCTCAGTTCAGCAATCTGTGCAGCAGCAAGGGGTGGCGGGGGCGAGATATGCACGGGAAGGGGAGCGAAGAGGGTTTTGTAATTGAAGGATAACTTGCAAATCGTTTTTAAACGAATCACTTAAATACGGGTACAGTATTTCATTAGTAGCAAATAAAATGTGTAGTAGTGGCAATACACGTACAACAATGTTTACATTGAGACAATTTATTGTATGTTCATGATTTATGCATCAGAATTATAGATGTAATTTTCCACTGAATTGCTGCAAACAAGTACGGTATTTACACTCTATTCTTAAACGGTACTAATACTGCACATACTCTACTGCATTGCGACCAAACAACACAAATAATGAAATTATTTCATTCGAGACTTTCGGAAATGACGGTACTTTAATTGTGATGGCATTGACAGTGCTCGAGTCTTGGATTTGGCAGAATTTTGCCGAGGTTGTACTCATCCACCATCGAGATTCGGGCATGCCCTGTGTGCTGCTGCATGCTCACTGGGCACTGCTGACACTTTTACATCCCCATCACAGCACAACAGAGAACCTGCACAGTGCATGAAACTCCGGTAACTTAACAACACAATGCCCACCCATTTACCTCTTACATGAGCTGTGTATGAAATTCTCCGGTGCTAGGTACTGTATAGGCTTAGTAAATCAATACATAAACGTGCAGTATGTTACACTTGTGAACATGAAATGTACACACCGCATGTGCGTGCATATCCAACATGAGTGTGACGGTAACAAAGATGAATATGGACTCATCAGGGTCACGGGACATGCATGAAATCACACGCGCAAGAATCGAGGTTATTCAGTATCGTGGAATTGAGCAGGAAACTTTGCGGGAAGTGATGATGGCCGGTGGTCGAGACCAAGGGTGGAGTGGCAGCCAAATGAGGGAATGCGCCCGAGAGGACGTCCGCCGGAGAGATGGAGCGATGGGAAGCAGCTCGTGTGCAGCTGCTGTAGGTGGATCGCAGGAATTGCGAGAGATGGCAACAGCTTTGAGAGGCCCTTTATCCAGCGGTGGGTTGAGCACGGCTGATTGTTGCGTATAAAACGGATTCGCGTGACTGATGCAGCCACGAGGTGGACGCGACATTCACCGCAGTGTTAAAAAGGAAATCGATTCTTGAATCAATCGTGACCCTGATTTGAGATATTTCATCAAATCACCGAGGGGGTGAATTGTTACACCACAATACGATACGAAGGCGAACCATTTATAGATACCCCACTGACCCTCTGACTTGGATGTCAATGATCTCAGCTTACACATCACCGAATGTTGCAAACAATTCACACTGGCTATATTGAACGTAGTGGGGTGACTATAAATGGATCACCATGTGTAATATGAACCATATTTGAACATGCAGTACAGGGTCATTTATATTGAAGGATTCCACAGTCTTGGTTAAAATTCATTTTTAAACTTTAGCGGGTACGACCCGCGTGCGTGACCTCATCATCAGTGGTTGATTTAAGACGCCGCTCTGCCATTTGTGGTCAGCAGAGTCTGCGTTGGGAAGGAGGAGGAGGAGTTTAAAACAACTGCTGATGAAATCGAACGAGCAGTCTGCTCCCGGGTAAAGTTTAAAACTGCAATAGAGCGTCGTGCACAAACGTGAAAGGAACAGTTTTTATGTTTTACCGCGCACTCGTAGTTTCAAAGAAGACTCGACGAGTCGTAGTAACATTGCGGTGGGCGTTGACACAGTGCAGTGGTTGCATATGCGCAGGGGTCACACGTGGTTTAAGATTTACAGAAACGTGCTCACGTGCCATCAGAAAGCAACCATTTGCCAAGCCTCTGAGAAATTCACCAAAATACTTATTCCATATGGGTACGCTTGTTTTTAATTGCTCAATAAATGCTAAATGAAAGTAATACAGCCGTATATTTTCAAGTTAAGATATCACAAGCAAATTCATAACTTACAACCCTCTGCCTGTCCAAAAACGTGTTGAAGGCCTCCCCATGCCGTGTTCAGGCATCGTGGTGGTTTGACCATACTTCACCACGCTGGTCAGAAAGTTAACTCGGGTCAACTGGGTTAATAGCACAATGCGCTAACCGCTGCACCACCGCTCCTTCCAATAAAA